TCTGCTACTGTGATGGTTACTGGACCCTGTTCAGGGAGGTTGCTGTGGTTCCCTTGAAACAAAACAAAACAAATCAAAAATTAAACATGCTCTTTAGTGCTGTAAAGTTGGGTATTTTAACAAGAGTCTATGAGGTTGCCAGCCTCAAATAGCCTTCAGAGGCACTGCAGTTTTTTGGCACTTTCACATTGGCCACATTTTCAGGCCCAGAGGTTACTGTTTCATGTGATGTCCCGCCCTGTTGCTACCCTGCTCTGACCCCTCTGTCTCCTTAGGATTGAGATGGAGGTGGATTCTCTGGAGAGAGAAGAGTCTATGATCAGCGTTAATGAGAGTTTTATCCTCAGTAGACTCAAGGCAGTGGAGAAAAGTCCGGAGGACATTATCAAGGTAAATACAAACACACATTCATACACAGGTGTAGTGTTGTGCTCCCGTTAGTACCTGTTACACTTACTGAGTTGTGCGTGTCTTCTAGGAAGCCCACAACAGCTTTGTTCCTGGTAAGTCATGTGACATCATTTGGAACATCTCTGGTGTTGCGACGAAAGATGAACCCAAGCTAACAGGTCTTTTTTTTTTCTTGCAGAACCATTACACTTAACCACAGCAATCCCTGAATCCTCCTCCTCACCAGCCAGTGAACAGTGTGAGCCAAACACACCACGGCAGAGATCATTCATGCATTTAAAACTGTTATACACAAAAGCACTGAAACACAAGAGTTTGCAAATCTAGAACTGGATTTATAGTGCTGTGTTCTGATAACTGTGAACAGTTCACAGCTAGATCCTCAAAGACTGGAGCTCAGAATGAAAGTGGAAACACTACACAGAAGAGCCAGTTTGCATCATGGAGCCCTGACTCTAACAGTAAAGATGAGTTTAAGGAATAAGTGCTTTCAAAAGACGTTTATCTTCTGTCAGCACAGGATGTGACGTCACCTGGTTGGTTGTGGCTAATAAACCCACATTAGTTTAGCTAACTGACAGAACCAATGACTCAGTGGAAAACACTTCTGTGCTCCTGGCTGCAGCAGTAACACCAAGGACATGCTGTCCACACACTGTCTGTCTCTTTAACAGTAATTGGCTCCATTGTTTGGCTGCATTCACTCAAACAGGAAAATCTGTCCTCAGCTCTTTACAAACACACAGATTATGAGTCACAGCTGGATTTTTAAATGAGCCTTTGCATGTGTGTAGTGTTTCATGTCTGCTTTGATTGTGCGTTCCAGTGCGCTCTAGTTTTTCAGGATCTACCTGTGGACTTTGCACAGGTATCAGAACGCTGAGGATGTCTATGACTCAATCCTAGTTTCTGCACAAAAACGTGATTCATCATTTTCCACAGATCTTTAAAAAGGACGTCAGAAAGTCACATAGATGTAACTTTTTCACCTCATTAGTCCAGGTTCTTTCATCTTTGACCACACATCTATGTTTCTGGGTTCTACACACACTGTTGTGTTATATCAGATATATCTCAGAGCTCAAAGCGAACTTTTAATTTTCCCTCTGCTTTATTTTTATACCCATTGAGAACTGTGGAGAGTTGCATTAACTAATGTACAGGACATTGTGCTGTGCACCTGGACTGATGTCGTGATAATCAGGATCAACTTTATCTGCCCTCTGTGTCCCAGCTCTGTTTAACATGCAGATCAATGTGGCTAAAAACACTCTGACTGGGGAGAGCTCAGTACTTTCTACGCCAGATGTTCTTCTGAAAGACTTTCACCAAAGCACCGGGCTCAGGGTTCATGATGATGTCCAGAAGTGTGTTTGTGCACTCAGCTCTCAGCAGGTATTTTTATTAT